GATGCGTAGGGGGTGCACACGGGTGCATGTCCACCCCCTGAGATTGGCCGTGTACCTTCTGGAAACCCAGACACAAAACCAGAATTGGTTTCTGGTTTTGCTGCTAGCTCAGCAATCAACTGCTGGGGGGGACCCTCCCCCCCCATTGGGGATCTGGTGCTCCCCCCCCCGACTCGGGAGGCACCAGTCTCCCACGGAGTAGACACTCTAGATCTCATGTGGACAAAGGCATCTAATGTGCAACCTTGAACCAGGTGTCAATGTGCAACCTTGAACCAGGTGTCTATGTGCTGAAGAGGGGAAGGAGTCTTTAAACCTCTGCTTCCCCTACTTCCACCGTCCCAGCCACCTGCATGCCCAGGCGCCCAGTGTGGGGAAGGCAAGGCAAGGAAGCGAGCCCTGCTGACCAGCACCTGGTGAGCCACTATGGTTTTTGCCATATTGTGTTTCATATAGCAACTGGAAGTGTGGAATGACCATCTGTTCTAATTTGTCCATCTTTGGCATTTTTATTATTTTTGTTAACTTGTATTGCTGTTGCATCTAAGGCCCCAAGCAACAGGTGATGACCCTATTGTCCTGGATACTGAACACACACAACAAAAATACTATACAGTTTTCAGAAAACTGACAATTGAAATTGGATAGATTTTGGTTGGCAATGTGGTGCTGGTGCAGTAAAAAAAGCATAAAAGTGGTGCTGTGAGCATCATTTCCACTGTTTTATTTTAAGAAAGTATTTTAATTAATTGGCCTATCTCTATGCTATGTAGGGGCAAGCAACTTTATTTTAATCCAGGTACTCCCTAAATTAGGAAACAGCTGGGACTTTGGAGTAATGTGTTCTAATATGTCTGAGGCATTTTCTCCCATCTTGTTAATCGGCAACTTTGAGAATTTGTTTTTAATGACAAAATTTAAAACGCACTTAAATGTAAGTACTTTATTCCATGTTCAAATGGGCTTGTTCCCCCTTCATTCTCCCATTGTACAATAACTGAAGCTGCCAGTTGATTCGGTCAAAGTTGGCATCCTAGAAATTGCTGTTTCAGAATTTTGCAATTTTTATGTTGTTATTATTCAGGAGTGCCTTCATGCAGCTGAAGTGATTTGGATTATTAACTATTATTTTGGTTTCTATGCTGTACCATAATGATTGGCAATGATCTGTACAGTGAATTAGTGAAGTCTAATTTCTGTAGAAATCAATGACTGTCATAAATTCTCAACTTGTTTATGGAATCAAAGCACTTGAAGTAATTTTATGTAATTGTATTTTTTTTTTTTAATGGAACAGTCATATTTCATCCATATATTTTTAACTGATAGGCATAGGCTGCGACAGAATATGAACAAATAATTCATCCTGCCTAAGGTCTAATGACCAGAGTGGAATATATAATTGAATGAATTATTTTGAAATTAACATCTTATAGTTTTAAGAATCTGTTCTTTTCTTAGAAAGCTATTCACTTTGAATGAAACAAATAAAATGATGCCCATCTTTCCCTGCCTGCTCTGCACTAACTTTTTTTCATTGCTTGCACTTTCCAGGTTTTTTTGATGCCTGGATTAATTTAATCCTCACATTGGTGGATGACATGTTCATGAAATAGACAAAAAATGTCAGTGCCAGAGAGAGCTAGGGATGGATAAAGATTTGTAGATCCGATATACAAGGGTAATCTGTTCTTAATTGGGGTTTAGTGAGGATTCCTAAACATCAGAATGTATGGCCTTTTGGTTTTCCAGGCTTCTGGCACAACAGTCAAACGTAGAAATGTTTAAATATGTGCTCAGGAAATGATGAAGTATACTAAACTTATTACTGGATATCCTGCTTTGAAAATATTGGAATCTCTAATGCATCTTCATTTCTGGATTTTTGCATAAGAAACGAGACAGTGTCTGTTAAAGGACTTTAAAAAAACAATTGAATAATAATAGTCCTGTTACATAGTAAAAAACAGAAGAAGTAAGTTGTTATAGCTAAATTACTTACATTGCTGTAACTATTGTGCAGGTTGTCCTATTACTCATCTCCCTACAGGCACTGCTTTCCAGGTTGTTCTTTCTGTTACAGTCATGCAAGTGAATCCCATTGTTTCTTTTACCCATTTTCATACCTTCTTCATCTTCTGCACAGATTTTACTAAACTGTGACACAGATTATATTTGCTCGCTGTTTTGTGTTAGGGTTAGAGGTGCTTGGTATCTAAATCTTCACATTATGCAGTTCTTATGTTAGAGGTACATAACCCAGTTATGATCTTTCTCTAAAGTTTTTTTGGCTTTCTCAAACTTTCAACAGGGAATTTAAGGTGTTGGTGAAATAGAACTATATGTGTACTTAAGGTACTCGTGTCTTAAGAAACGTTATGGGTCAGGTCCTTTTAAGCCCTTACCCAGCATCTTAAATTCCTTGCTGAAACTAAGGACTTACACAGACATACAGTTCCTCCTGAATAACCAGGAATTAAATCACTCCCAGAAGAGTTTATCCTGTGAGAGCAAATATCTGTACATGCTGTAAGTGCAAACGAATGCTGAATTGTGGCATGAATGATGTTGGCTGTGGCTTACCTGAAGGAACATGGAGTAATGGTCTCAAGTTGCAGCAAGGGAAGTTTAGATTGGATATTAGGAAAAACTTTCTCACTAGGAGAGTGGTGAAACACTGGAACAGGTTACCCGGAAAGGTGGTAGAATTTCCGTCCTTGCAGTTTTTTATGGCCTGGCTTGACAAAGCCCTGGCTAGAATGATCTAGTTGAGGATGGTCCCACTTTGAGCAGGGGGTTGGACCAGATGGCCTCCTGACGTCCCTTCCAACCCTAACTTTCTATGAAGATATCTCCTGGATATAATAGCATAATACCATGTAGTTAGTGGAGCTGCTTGAGCTGCTTGTTTCCTAGTTTAAAATGGAGAAAGAGTGGCTACCAGGTATTTTTTGGGAAGGCCTCTGGATTTTGGAATTCTTTTCTTTATTCTAAGTCAGTTGGAATGTTCCTGTATTCCCTAATGTTTTTTTCTGGGAGAGAGGTCAAGGGTGTTTTGGTGTCACTTGTTGGGTATTGTTGCTGGTGGAATCTTTACTATAATGTTGGCATATTGTTCTGTTAGAGAGCTGTTACGTTAAATGGCATCAGCAGCAGTGTCCTTTGTTCTAAAAACATTTTTTGCTTGTGTGTTCATTATTTGTACAGGTGCCGAGAGTTTGGATATGCACTTTTAATGCATTTAAAGAAATATAATAAAATAAAATTAGAGTCTGGGTTTTAGCCTTCTAAAGCTTGTCCCATTAATGTTGAATAAAAAAATAATTCTTCCCCTCAAACAGTTCTCCAGCATGTTGTTTTTTTCCAGCCTCACATTAAACCTAGTATGTGAAGACTAAAAATAATTTAACATAGAAAGTATTCTGTATTTTCTGCTTAAAAGACAACTTGGCTCAAACCACTCCTTGTAATAGATGTTATTTTCAAGAGCAAAAAATCAAGTAACTGCTACATTAGCTGTCTGGTTTTTTTTGTTTTTTTTAATGGTCATTGAATTAAGTTGGAGCTTAGTAACTGTATTTGTTCCTATTATTTTTGTTAAATAACAAGTATTTTAGCTTCAATATTATGAAAAAGCAGTACTATAAACCTTAGTGTTAATAGCTTAGTATTTTAGTCTTCCACAAATTAATGCCTGTGGTAGCTGGACGATTTTAGGCCTGTTCTTGTAAACAAGGCCTCACTGATGTGCAAGGAACAGCAACATGTGGCAAAAAGCTCCACATTAACCAAGGTAAGCAGTATAAATGGTGTATAGGAATCCCCTGTTAGACCGAAAATCTCCAGAGCCTACAAATTAAAGACCTCCAATATCATTTTTAAATAAAGCCTTTTATGTAGTATGAGAACATTTTTTCAGCTGATAATCAAATGACACTATTATGCAGACTTACTAGATTTGCAAATTTACAAGTTTTTACAAGTCAGTTGGGTCCCTTCCTCAGGAAATCAGTTTAAGTTTTTTTTTCCCTGTATTGACTCAAAGAGCCTAGTTGTCCTTAAATCCTTGTGAATATATTTGCCTTATAATTTGACGGCATTGAGTCAACACCCTTATAGGCACTGTAATGCAATAAAAAGAGAAACTGTTCAATATAGCTTCCAGTTACCTTAGGATCAGATTTGAAGAAATTGGAATGCACACAATAAAACCTGTACAAGACTTGAGTTCCATGTTGTGTTTTAAGCAATGAGCGCTTTTCAATGAAACATATTGTTTAAAACCTTTGCCTGATTTCTAATGGGCATAAAATGGTAAAAATGAAAGTAATGCATATAACTCTTAAAATATGCATTTTACATTTTTAATAACACTTTTTATGAAATTTAGCTTTGTGGAACTGAAAAATCTGATTACAAATAATGGAATGTCAGTATTGATTCAGTGCAATTCTAGTGGTTGTTTTAATGTAATGGATACTTTTGCTGCACTGCTCGGTATTAAAATTCTTTAAAACACATTCCTTTTTTAACTTGGAAAAAATACATAGAGGCAGACATATTCTGTAAGTTTTTACTTTTATTTTGTAGCAGTATTTGAATAATATTAGAATCTTCCAAGTGCAAGTTTTTGCAAGCAGAACGTTGGAGCTTGGTTCTTCCCTCAGTCTCCCACATATGGCTCCTAGAGAGTCAGTCAGAGCTGCACGTGTGTGTATCTGTGGTGGAACAGTCTTAATTTTTAAATGGCATTTATTGCATTTGACAGATCAGTGTTTATTGTAATTTATGTTAGGTGCATAAAAACACATTTTATATAATGGGTTATTTTTCATTTAGCAGGTAATTATAAAAGCTCACGGTTGTCATTCATGTATTTGTGTGAAGAAAAAGATTGTATCTATTGTAAGCATTTTAAATGAATAGCTGTTTAGACAGGTATCTAAATTTTAATGGGATCCATTATAGTAATTTCTCCATTTCTTTGAACCTTCTTACAGTTGATTTGGAGCATATGCGAACAGTGAAAGCTGACAAACACCAACGATTTTGCCAGGAAAATGGTTTCAGTAGCCATTTTGTGTCAGCCAAGACAGGCGATTCTGTAAGTAAGACAAGTATAATTTTTTTAAATTATAGGGTATGATATAGTAGTTTTACTGTCTCCAAATATCAGGTCATTAATGAATTTCAGTTACTGAAGTCGACGCATGCCTAGATTTTTTTTGGTGTAATATATTAAAACTGTGTTCTATTAATTACTGTGAAGTCTCATCTAGTTTGAAATAAGTTATTGGCTTTAATCTGTAAAGAGTTTAAGATCTTGCTACCATTTATACTGTGTCTCTTCCTCTGTAAACCAACTGATTTCTCTCTGCTGATAGTCTCTTAGTAAATAAGCGTAAGGTCACATTATCTGAATTTTCAGTAGAGGGTCCCCAGCCAAGAGGCATGCTCCCCCTGGTGGTCCATTGAAAGTTGAACTTAGTGATCTTCAGGTTTTGATGCAAAGCACATTTTCAGTCTGTGAATTGTAATGGAAGTATGGCTGGTTGAGTGATATAGAAATACATTCTGGTTTCATTGACTACAGTAGACAAAGTAAATTTACGTGCTATTGTGTTTCTTTTGTCACATACCTTTGTCAGTGGGCATGCAAAAACATTTAAATAAATGTCACATTTCACTAAATTAGTAAATTTTGTATTGCATTTAGTGTATAATTGTGTATCTATCTATATGATTGAATAACAAAAAATATTTTGTCATGTATGTTTTAAAATACTTGTCCAGAGACCATAAAAGAATATGCCACTATTAATTTCATATCCACTACCACTCACTGGTGAACGGATGCCATAAATTAATTTAAAAGGTTTATAAACGGTATTTTGTGATGTCTGTCAGTGTTCCTATTATAATACAAGTTATCAAGGGTTTTATATTTGTCCATAAACCCTGGTGTGTGTGTGTGTGTGTGTGTGTGTGTGTGTGTAATTAATAAATAAATAAATAAATATGAACTCTGCCCCAAACATGTTAAAAAAAAAAAAGTCTGAAACATGAAGCTTTTTGAGTGTAGATCCTTGGTCATATTCTATATGGTATACCCATGCTATAATTCATTCTTTTTCAGACAGGTAATGATTCCTTTTGGAGTTGATATGATGCACTATATCAGTGATAAGCAAATTAACAGTTTAAAAACTGATATTTTTAAACATTTTTGAAAGAACCTTTATACTTAATACTTGTCACTGATCTCTGAATTATAGGAGGTAATTAAGATAAGTTTTAATTGACATCTCAAAAACGTAAGGAAACTTGAACATAAAAGAATACATTACCTTGCTGTATGTGTAAGTATCTACTCTCAAGCAACAGTATTAAAGCTTTCACTCCCCTCCTAACTCTTCTTCCTAGTGAGTGTGTCTAAGCTAAACTAGGTCAGTTTTAAACATTTTAGGGTTAGTGCAACTACAGTCTGTCTGAAACAACTAATTTTTTTGGTAGGGTCCAGTAATGCACTATAGAATCACAGAAAAGCAGGGCTTGAAGAACTTCAGTAGATCATCTGGTCAACGTTTTATGTATGGTTAAAACTAAACTAATTGGCTTTGACTCGTTCAGTCAGTGTAGAGCTAGACTAACTGAAATATTGTAATAAATATTCTTGCTACTGCCCAACAGTATATGATTAAATCATAATGTAAAGGGCTGGAAGGCATCTCAGGAGGTCATCTACTCCAGTACCCTGCTGAAGGCAGGATCATCCTTGTCTAAACCATCCCAGACAAATGCTTGTCTAACCTGCACTTAAACTTTTAGTTACAAAGATTCTGCAACCTTGCTACCTAATCTCTTCCAGTGCTTAACCACCCTTCTAGTTAGACTGTTCTTCCTGTTACGTAATCTAAATTTTCCTTGTTGCAGTTTAAGCCTATTCATTATTTTACCTGTCCTGAGTGGACATAGAGAATAATAGATCACCGTCCTCTTTATAATGAACCTTTTCGTTTATGAAGCCCGTTAACAACTTGTTATTAACTCTTTCCTTAGTCTTCTCTTCCATAAAGTTAGTAATCACAGTTCTTTCAATCTTTCCTGATATATCATATTTTCTAGCTCTCTAATCCTTTTTATTCCTGTCTTCTGGACTCTTCAATTTGTCCACGTGTTTCTTCAAAGGTGGTACCCAAAAGTAGACACACTGCTCAAAGTGAGGCCTTACCAAAGCTGAATAGATTGGAAGAATGTAAGTCTCATCCTCTGTGTTGCAAAGTATACTCCTTTGGCCTGACATCTCCCAAAACCCAATTATTCAGGGATCTGTATTGGAGCTGTTGGGTAGATCTTCAGAGGGGAGTAGTTTAGGCCACTGTGGGCACATCTCCACATGCAATTAATGCACCTGAATAAACTCCAGTGCTGTTTGTGCCATCTCCTGGGTGCAGCATTTACACATGCGCCCGGGATTGCAGTACATTGAACTGGTGGGGGGGGGCACAGCGCCAGCTGGCAAAGGACCTAGGGGTGTCAGTCTGCCAGCCTGGGGCTGATCCCTCCCAGCTCAACGTGCAGCAGAGGGGCTGGCCTGAGCACAAAGGTGCTACAGTGTGGGGCTAGCTGGTAGGCGGTCTCTGCATTGTAGCACCCTTGTGCCCCAGCCAGCCTGGTCACTGTCTGTACATGCATTGAGGCAGATTAAAGTACTCTGCTGCAGGATAGTACTTATATTTGGGAGTACTATCCTTTGATGGAGTTAATTAGTTTACTCTGGCCTAATAGAGCTGCACATGGAAATGCTGATGTTTTAATGCGGAGCGAATTAGTCTGTTTTGGAGTAAACATCACATGTAGATATGCCCTGTTGGTATGAATACTGTGCAGATATGTAAAGTTCCTTGAACTGGCTTAGGATGGCTAATATGGATGCTATTGTTTGTTATATTCTAACTAGTTCTGTGCAACCAACTCAGTTACAGAAGATATGATTCCATAATGTGGACTCAGCCCAAATATCTGACTGGAAGGCAAACTTTTTTTTCTTTGTTACAGGGGTTTTGTTGCTGTATTACCTATTTTTGTTTACTGCCCCAGTTCCGATTCAGTGGCTGGCTACCCCATACCATAGATGCTTCTTAACCAGGCATTTGTTAACCAGATAACACCATTTCTTAAAAGCCTTCATGAATTTAAGACCCAGTCTTCCAAACGTTTTGGCTTATGCTTATCTTTAAATGTGGACTACTCATATGCATTAATGCTTGCAAAATGTGGATGCTAAAACCTATTGTCCTGTAGTTCAGAAACTTGTCTCAGTGGCACAAATGCACTAGTAAAATATACTTCAAATGAACTTTTGTGAATAACCTTATTCATTTACTAGATGAAGTTATTTTCAGATCAGTTTTGCACAGGCCAATTTTCACATATTTACATATTGTTTACAGTTCGGGAAAGGATTGATGTATTAAAAACTACTTTGAGCATGTCTGTTTTTAATCATTTAATTGATTTTTTTTTTTTTTTTTTTTTTTTATGTAGGTCTTCCTGTGCTTTCAAAGAATTGCTGCTGAAATTCTTGGCATCAAATTAAACAAAGCAGAAATGGAACAATCACAGGTGATTGTCCTAATATATTGCTTTTTCATAGCTGTTTTGCTTACTGTTAAAACAATCTAAATGCAAGCAAATAATAAATTTCCCTTCAAAGTGAGCTAAATCTCATGTGCTGATTCAGTTGTGTGTTTTTTACAGCCTTTCCTGTGTATTTATTCCTCATAATTCCATAATTAGCAAAGGTAAAATTACAGAATTTATGTCATGATAAATTAGGGGAAAATTAATTGAAGACCTTTATCTTTCTTTGGAATTAAATTTAGCTATATCATATAAATTGGAACATACATGTGTGCATACCTATATATACCCCAGGTTAGTGTAAGTAGATACTTCAAACTAATGAATGAAAACTATTTAGAAGCACCAACAATATTTAAAAAGTCAATCTTCTAATTAAAATACTCTGGTGTTTAAACATTTTCAGTTCAGGTTGTGTATTCAGAAGGGCTTGGGTGTGAAATCCAAAAAGCTTTTATACACCTCCTTTCATAAATTCTTAAAAATAAGGGTTGTAATACACAGGTAACCTTTACAATATCATGACTTTGGAACAGGAATGCGTGTTTTTTTAAGTGTTATTGTAATACCAAAATAGACCTATGCCAACTGTTTAAAATTCTGAATGGTTGATTGGGATTAATGTATAGCAGTTATCCAAATAAGCCCCAAATATAAGTGAAACCCATTCACGTACAGCTTGCTCTTTAGTTTGCTAAAATATATAATATAAAATAAGAGTTTCTGTAACGCAGCATATAAAATTTATGTTGAAGAGGTTAGCTAGAAAACTTTATTTTAAATAGTGGAAAGGCAAAATATAGTTTACAATACATACTGAATAAGCCAAGCAGAAGATCCATTAAAAACTGAATTTGTATGATGCATGCAAGCAGAAAAGATTAGTACAGTATCCTTCTGGTATTTTTCATTAAGACATTTCCTATTTTCTTTCATTGCAGAATGTGTAGAGATAGTTTATTACATTGAAAATCAGTTGTTTTCAAATCTTCTTGGCATTTGTCTCTCTAATGTTATTGAGACTCTGCCTTGGTCTCAGATCTTCATGTATAGTGTCAAAAAGAACACTCTCAAATCCTCAAAAAAAATGATCAAAAAGACATTTCATAAGAGGAAAAATTGTAATTGTCCTAGTTACACAATGGAAAATGACCACTAATATTGGTTGAGAGCCAGCATCTTCCAGAAGCATAATTTCATAGTGCTAAGAGTCAGAAGGGACCTAAACGGATCATCAGGTCTGACCCCCTGCCCCAGGCAGGAACGAGTGCTGGGATCATAACACTCCAGCCACATATCTATCCTGCCTTCTCTTGAAGACCCTCAAAGTAGGAGTACCACCTCCCTTGGAAGCCCATTCCAGAGCCTGGCAGCCCTAACTGTAAAGTAATGCCTCCTGATATCCAGACTGAACCTCCTCTCTAACAATATGTGGCTGTTATTCCTAGTAACCCCTGGTGGTGCCCGAGGGAGCAGAGCCTCCCCCAATTTCCGCTGGTCCCCCCCCCAGGTGATTTTGACCCAGATCCCCTTTCAGCCTTGTCTGGAACTAGGAGTGGGACTAGGCTTTTCCAAGAAAGAAAGATGTTGTGACTTTAGATTGGGTCAGGGACTTGGGAGAAGTGAGATTTGTTTTATATATCACAAATTTCTTGTCCAAAACGAAACAAGTCACTTAATATTCACTGTGTTACAGTTCTTCAGTTACTACATGCCTCATTTCACAGCACTGCTTGTGAAAATACATGTGAGGCAGAGAGCAGTAACATATGGCCCCCAAGGCTACTGCAACTGGCCCATGGAAATGGAGGACTTTCCTTGTGCCCATTCTCATGCTGGGGCTGAAGAGAGGAGCTGTGCTAGGGTTGAGAAACTTCCAGCTGTTCCACCACTGCTTCTCCCCTCCCCTCCCAACCTTCCCCAGGACTGTGGCATCGATGCAGCTTCCAGCAGGTGGAGAACTGGGGGACTCTGATTTAAGTTAAACCAGGAGCAGGTCTGGGACAGACATTGCATAAAGAGGTTTGGCCCAAATCAGTTAAGTCTGATATTACATTCAGCCAGGTGCATCTCAAACCAATTTCAGCCATTTTCAAACTGGTTTATGTGCACTGAATGTCTGTTCTGTTACAGGTTTAAACCAGTTTCTGATCACTTAAACTGGTTGATGTGTAATGTCTGTCCCTAGCCCAGTCTCAACACAGCTACCCACTGACAGGAAGTTGTGTTTGTGCCTCAGATGGATGGGGGGGGGATGTGCCCCACGCTGAGATTGGCCTTCGCCGGCCAGGGCTATGGTTTTTGCCATATTGTGTTTCATATAGCAACTGGAAGTGTGGAATGACCATCTGTTCTAATTTGTCCATCTTTGGCATTTTTATTATTTTTGTTAACTTGTATTGCTGTTGCATCTAAGGCCCCAAGCAACAGGTGATGACCCTATTGTCCTGGATACTGAACACACACAACAAAAATACTATACAGTTTTCAGAAAACTGACAATTGAAATTGGATAGATTTTGGTTGGCAATGTGGTGCTGGTGCAGTAAAAAAAGCATAAAAGTGGTGCTGTGAGCATCATTTCCACTGTTTTATTTTAAGAAAGTATTTTAATTAATTGGCCTATCTCTATGCTATGTAGGGGCAAGCAACTTTATTTTAATCCAGGTACTCCCTAAATTAGGAAACAGCTGGGACTTTGGAGTAATGTGTTCTAATATGTCTGAGGCATTTTCTCCCATCTTGTTAATCGGCAACTTTGAGAATTTGTTTTTAATGACAAAATTTAAAACGCACTTAAATGTAAGTACTTTATTCCATGTTCAAATGGGCTTGTTCCCCCTTCATTCTCCCATTGTACAATAACTGAAGCTGCCAGTTGATTCGGTCAAAGTTGGCATCCTAGAAATTGCTGTTTCAGAATTTTGCAATTTTTATGTTGTTATTATTCAGGAGTGCCTTCATGCAGCTGAAGTGATTTGGATTATTAACTATTATTTTGGTTTCTATGCTGTACCATAATGATTGGCAATGATCTGTACAGTGAATTAGTGAAGTCTAATTTCTGTAGAAATCAATGACTGTCATAAATTCTCAACTTGTTTATGGAATCAAAGCACTTGAAGTAATTTTATGTAATTGTATTTTTTTTTTTTAATGGAACAGTCATATTTCATCCATATATTTTTAACTGATAGGCATAGGCTGCGACAGAATATGAACAAATAATTCATCCTGCCTAAGGTCTAATGACCAGAGTGGAATATATAATTGAATGAATTATTTTGAAATTAACATCTTATAGTTTTAAGAATCTGTTCTTTTCTTAGAAAGCTATTCACTTTGAATGAAACAAATAAAATGATGCCCATCTTTCCCTGCCTGCTCTGCACTAACTTTTTTTCATTGCTTGCACTTTCCAGGTTTTTTTGATGCCTGGATTAATTTAATCCTCACATTGGTGGATGACATGTTCATGAAATAGACAAAAAATGTCAGTGCCAGAGAGAGCTAGGGATGGATAAAGATTTGTAGATCCGATATACAAGGGTAATCTGTTCTTAATTGGGGTTTAGTGAGGATTCCTAAACATCAGAATGTATGGCCTTTTGGTTTTCCAGGCTTCTGGCACAACAGTCAAACGTAGAAATGTTTAAATATGTGCTCAGGAAATGATGAAGTATACTAAACTTATTACTGGATATCCTGCTTTGAAAATATTGGAATCTCTAATGCATCTTCATTTCTGGATTTTTGCATAAGAAACGAGACAGTGTCTGTTAAAGGACTTTAAAAAAACAATTGAATAATAATAGTCCTGTTACATAGTAAAAAACAGAAGAAGTAAGTTGTTATAGCTAAATTACTTACATTGCTGTAACTATTGTGCAGGTTGTCCTATTACTCATCTCCCTACAGGCACTGCTTTCCAGGTTGTTCTTTCTGTTACAGTCATGCAAGTGAATCCCATTGTTTCTTTTACCCATTTTCATACCTTCTTCATCTTCTGCACAGATTTTACTAAACTGTGACACAGATTATATTTGCTCGCTGTTTTGTGTTAGGGTTAGAGGTGCTTGGTATCTAAATCTTCACATTATGCAGTTCTTATGTTAGAGGTACATAACCCAGTTATGATCTTTCTCTAAAGTTTTTTTGGCTTTCTCAAACTTTCAACAGGGAATTTAAGGTGTTGGTGAAATAGAACTATATGTGTACTTAAGGTACTCGTGTCTTAAGAAACGTTATGGGTCAGGTCCTTTTAAGCCCTTACCCAGCATCTTAAATTCCTTGCTGAAACTAAGGACTTACACAGACATACAGTTCCTCCTGAATAACCAGGAATTAAATCACTCCCAGAAGAGTTTATCCTGTGAGAGCAAATATCTGTACATGCTGTAAGTGCAAACGAATGCTGAATTGTGGCATGAATGATGTTGGCTGTGGCTTACCTGAAGGAACATGGAGTAATGGTCTCAAGTTGCAGCAAGGGAAGTTTAGATTGGATATTAGGAAAAACTTTCTCACTAGGAGAGTGGTGAAACACTGGAACAGGTTACCCGGAAAGGTGGTAGAATTTCCGTCCTTGCAGTTTTTTATGGCCTGGCTTGACAAAGCCCTGGCTAGAATGATCTAGTTGAGGATGGTCCCACTTTGAGCAGGGGGTTGGACCAGATGGCCTCCTGACGTCCCTTCCAACCCTAACTTTCTATGAAGATATCTCCTGGATATAATAGCATAATACCATGTAGTTAGTGGAGCTGCTTGAGCTGCTTGTTTCCTAGTTTAAAATGGAGAAAGAGTGGCTACCAGGTATTTTTTGGGAAGGCCTCTGGATTTTGGAATTCTTTTCTTTATTCTAAGTCAGTTGGAATGTTCCTGTATTCCCTAATGTTTTTTTCTGGGAGAGAGGTCAAGGGTGTTTTGGTGTCACTTGTTGGGTATTGTTGCTGGTGGAATCTTTACTATAATGTTGGCATATT